AATTAAAGACAACGCAAAACTACTGTGTCACGTCACGACAACAAAACTAATGATTTTAAATGAATACAAAAAGCCAAATAACGCTTGTATACGTATCATCATAATCACCCCCCCCCCTTTTTCTTTTTCTTAAATTTATTTTATTTTAAAACATGCAGAAGATCTAGACGTTATCAATCATTAAGCCCCTAGATCACGCTAAGTAACTCTTTGCATCCCCTAGTCCACTTGAGCAGTGTTTTTTGCAAAGCAAATATACATTCTCCCACTACAAAAATAATATAAAAATCAACCCACGAAATCATGATTAAGGAAATACAAAAAAGGAACAGATTAAAGGTAATTCAAGGTTAAGCAATTAAATATGGACAAAGAAAATTCACGATTATATGTTTGATAGAGATCTAGCCTACCTTCTTCCATTTAATATATATATTTGGTTCATAAATTATTCATTAAACTTAATAAAGTAAATTTATTAAAAAAAACTATTTTATTATCTTATAATCAGGCATATTTGGTAACAATACCTCACATACAACAAAATCTATGCAAAATTAAAATTAAAGACAACGCAAAAAATCTACTCAAAATTAAAGACAACACAAAACTAATGTGTCACGTCACGACAACAAAACTAATGATTTTAATTGAATACAAAACGCCAAATAACGCTTGTATACATATCATCATAATCACCCCCGATCCCCCCCCCTTTTTTTCTTAAATTTATTTATTTTAAAACATGTGGAAGGTCTAGGCGTTATCAATCATTAAGCCCCTACATCACACTAAGTAACTCTTTGCGTCTGCTATTCCACTTGTGCAGTGTTTTTTGCAAAGCAAATATACATTCTCCCACTACAAAAATAATATAGAAATCAGCCCAGGAAATCTTGATTAAGAAAATACAAAAAAGGAACAGATGAAGGGTAATTCATGGTTAAGCAATTAAATACGGACAAAGAAAATTCACGATTATATGTTTGATAGAGATCTAGCCTACGTTCTTGCATTTAATATATATAGTTGATTCATAAATTATTCATTAAACTTAATAATGTAAATTTATTAAAAAAACTATTTTATTATCTTATAATCAAGCATATTTGTTAAAGACAATGCAAAAAAATCTACTCAAAATTAAAGACAACGCAAAACTAATCTGTCATGTCACGACAACAAAACTAATGATTTTAATTGAATACAAAAAGCCAAATAACGCTTGTATACGTATCATCATAATCACCCCCCCCCCCCCCCCCCTTTTTTCCTTAAATTTGTTTTAATTTAAAACATGCAGAAGGTCTAGGCGTTATCAATCATTAAGCCCCTAGATCACGCTAAGTAACTCTTTGCATCTGCTACTCCACTTGTGCAGTGTTTTTTGCAAAGCAAATATACATTCTTCCACTACAAAAATAATATAAAAATCAACCCAACAAATCTTGATTAAGGAAATACAAAAAAGGAACAGATGAAGGGTAATTCATGGTTAAGCAATTAAATATGGACAGAAAAAATTCACGATTATATGTTTGATAGAGATCTAGTCTACCTTCTTGCATTTAATATATATATTTGATTCATAAATTATTCATTAAACTTAATAAAGTAAATTTATTAAAAAAAAACTATTTTATTATCTTATAATCAAGCATATTTGTTAAAGACAATGCAAAAAAATCTACTCAAAATTAAAGACAACGCAAAACTAATATGTCACGTCACGACAACAAAACTAATGATTTTAATTGAATACAAAAAGCCAAATAACGCTTGTATACGTATCATCATAATCACCCCCCCCCCTTTTTCTTAAATTTATTTTATTTTAAAACATGTGGAAGGTCTAGGCGTTATCAATCATTAAGCCCCTAGATCACGCTAAGTAACTCTTTGCATTTGCTACTCCACTTGTGCAGTGTTTTTTGCAAAGCAAATATACATTCTCCCACTACAAAAATAATATAAAAATCAACCCAAGAAATCTTTATTAAGGAAATACAAAAAACGAATAGATGAAGGGTAATTCATGGTTAAGCAATTAAATATGGACAAAGAAAATTCACGATTATATGTTTGATAAAGATCTAGCCAACCTTCTTGCATTTAATATATATGTTTGATTCATAAATTATTCATTAAACTTAATAAAGTAAATTTATTAAAAAAAACTATTTTATTATCTTATAACCAAGCATATTTTGGTAACAATACCTCACTTACAAAAAAATCTACGCAAAATTAAAATTAAAGACACCGCAAAAAAATCTACTCAAAATTAAAGACAACGCAAAACTAATGTGTCACGTCACGACAACAAACTAATGATTTTAATTGAATACAAAAAGCCAAATAACGCTTGTGTACGTATCATCATAATCACCCCCCCTTTTTCTTTTTCTTAAATTTATTTTATTTTAAAACATGTAGAAGGTCTGGGCGTTATCAATCATTAAGCCCCTAGATCACGCTAAGTAACTCTTTTCATTCACTTACCCACCCTGGACATACATATATGGACAAAGAGAGAAAGAAGGAAGAAGATGAGGAACATGTTCTCTAATCTTCATGCTTTGCTCCCTCATCTCCTTCCCAAGGTAATTCATTCACATCTTCTTCAAGATTGAGATTGATGTGTACATATGGAATGATAATTAAGTAGTTGTTCATGCCCGGTTATTCTATCTTGAAAAAGTTTAGAAATATAAAAACCGATAAAAGAGTTAGACACTACTTATAAAAATCGTCCAATTTTATGATTAATTTTGGTGTTTTCCCACCTTTTTGTTCGAGTCTCTCTCCCATCTATTTATCAAAGTTAATTTATTAAGGCAAATCATTTTTTACATACAAAGCTTTCAAGTTTTTCAATTTGTTTCCTTTAAAGGGAAATTAATGAGAAAGATATAAGAGAGTAGTCCTTTTCATCAATGTGATAATATTTGAGGATGTCCTTTTCATCAAGTCTATATTTAAGGTTGTCATGGGGTGATGGGACACTTATTCAATGAAAAATCAATTATTCATTACTATCAATCATTAAAATGCTATTAGTGAAGTTATGTATTCATTAAGTTATGGTTTTTTTTGGGAGGGGGGGTTAAAGTTCAACTGAATGTTCCCATTAATCCTTTCGAGTAACTTCATAAACCTCATCAATTTCCCTTTGTTTCTTAATGTGGATGACCTACAACTTTATGAAAAACTGATTACAAGATCAAACACAAACTTTTAACGCAATTAATGTAAAAGAAATGTATCTGATTATGTTATTAATTTCTATGCATATGTAGAGAAATTGATAACTTTATATTCCTCTCACAACACAAAGTTTCAATTAACTGGTATTTATTAGAACACCGATAACTGGTGGATTTTGTTCACTTTATTAAAAAGGAAGTGCATGTGTATGTTAGTCTTACAAAAATGGTTTAATGCGATTATATATGACTCTCCCAAAGTAAAAAAGAAATTTTGGGATAAGCACATGAGTCTTGGACATAACGCATATCATGTACTTAGAAAATTTTCAAAATTTGAATGAGATACATTTAAATTTGGTGCTTTGACCATACTCAAAAACTAAAATTATACATTTTTTATTCTAACATTTTTATTTTGATATAAGAAGAGGGTCATTAGGGCCTAGTTCAAACAAAAAATAATATACAAACAAAATATTTATATAAAAAGTTCATTCAAAATTGTGTAATATTAGTATTTTTTTTTTAAATTAAATGCTTAACTGATGGGCATTTGATTTCAAAAAATGATGAAACTACAATTACCCACATCCATTTTGTTTGAATTTTGCCTTCTCATCAACCATATGATAGTTCACATTGAATATTTGTACAGGCAGACAAGTCCACAATTGTGGATGAAGCAGTGACCCACATAAAATCCCTACAACAAACTCTCCAAAAGCTCTAAAGGCAGAAGCTGGAAAGGCTCCATGGCTTGACACCCATGAACTTCGATGGTCAATTGTCCATAATCACCCCACAAAAGCTTCCCATGGACTCGAGGGAGGCTTTCATGGCCGATCAAGTTTCTTCAAACAACACAAACTCAAACTCATCCAATGCACTGCCAGTGTCTCTCTCTCGGTTTCCTCCTCTTTTCCAGACTTGGACTTCTCCGAATGTGATCTTGAATGTGTGCGATGATCATGCACAGAACAGCGTGTGCTCGATGAAGAATGCTGGACTTTTCACTACTATCTGCTATATGTTGGAGAAGCACAAGCTGGATGTTGTGTCTGCTCATGTTTCATCGGATCAGAATCAGACCATGTACATGATTCAAGCCCATGTAAGTCTCCTCTAACTTACTTCCTTGCACATTAGAGAGGATTGTTACAAGCTATCACTTTCTCTACTTACTGTTGTTAGATGAATCTAAAAATTAAAAACTTTTCATATTCCTGAACATGCCTTTTATTTGGTAGGTAACATCGATGAAGCCACCGTGAAGGCTATGAACTTAGAAATGGAGAGCAATTTGAAGAAATGACCTTAAATCTTTCTGTATTGACTCCTAATCAAATTGTTTGGGATTCTGAAGTGAAAGAAATCATTTTATCTACTAATAGTGGCCAAATTGGCGTATTACCAAATCACGCCCCTATTGCCACAGCTGTAGATATAGGTATTTTGAGAATACGCCTTAACGATCAATGGTTAACGATGGCTCTGATGGGTGGTTTTGCTAGAATAGCCAATAATGAGATCACTGTTTTAGTAAATGATGTGGAGAAGAGTAGTGACATTGATCCACAAGAAGCTCAGCAAACTCTTGAAATAGTAGAAGCTAATTTGAAGAAAGCGGAAGGTAAGAGACAAATAATTGAGGCAAATGTAGCTCTTAGACGAGCTAGGACACGACTCGAAGCTATCAATGTGATAAAGTGTTTAATTTTTAGATTCATCCAACAACAGTAAGTAGAGAAAGTGATACCTTGTAACAACCTCTCTAATGTGCAAGGAAGTAAGTTAGAGGAGACTTACATGGGCTTGAATCATGTACATGGTCCGATTCTGATCCGATGAAACACGAGCAGACACAACATCCAGCTTGTGCTTCTCCAACACATAGCAGATAGCAGTGAAAAGTCCAGCCTTCTTCATCGAGCACACGCTATTCTGTGCATGATCACCGCACACATTCAAGATCACATTTGGAGAAGTCCAAGTCTGGAATAGAGGAGGGAACCGAGAGAGAGACACTGGCAGTGCATTGGATGAGTTTGAGTTTGTATTGTTTGAAGAAACTTGATCGGCCATGAAAGCCTCCCTCAAGTCCATGGGAAGCTTTTGTGGGGTGATTATGGACGATTGACCATCGAAGTTCATGGGTGTCAAGCCATGGAGCCTTTCCAGCTTCTGCCTTTGGAGCTTTTGGAGAGTTTGTTGTAGGGATTTTATGTGGGTCACTGCTTCATCCACAATTGTGGACTTGTCTACCTGTACAAATATTCAATGTGAACTATCATATGGTTGATGAGAAGGCAAAATTCAAACAAAATGGATGTGGGTAATTGTAGTTTCATCATTTTTTGAAATCAAATGCCCATCAGTTAAGTATTTAATTTTTAAAAAAATACTAATATTACACAATTTTGAATGAACTTTTTATATAAATATTTTGTTTGTATATTATTTTTTGTTTTAACTAGGCCTTAATGACCCTCTTCTTATATCACAATAAAATGTTAGAATAAAAAATGTATAAATTTAGTTTTTGAGTATGGTCAAAGCACCAAATTTAAATGTATCTCATTCAAATTTTGAAAATTTTCTAAGTACATGATGTGCGTTATGTCCAAGACTCATGTGCTTATCCCAAAATTTCTTTTTTACTTTGGGAGAGTCATATATAATCGCATTAAACCATTTTTGTAAGACTAACATACACATGCACTTCCTTTTTAATAAAGTGAACAAAATCCACCAGTTATCGGTGTTCTAATAAATACCAGTTAATTGAAACTTTGTGTTGTGAGAGGAATATAAAGTTATCAATTTCTCTACATATGCATAGAAATTAATAACATAATTAGATACATTTTTTTTACATTAATTGCGCTAAAAGTTTGTGTTTGATCTTGTAATCAATTTTTCATAAAGTTGTAGGTCATCCACATTAAGAAACAAATGGAAATTGATGAGGTTTATGAAGTTACTCGAAAGGATTAATGGGAACATTCAGTTGAACTTTAACCCCCCCTCCCAAAAAAAACCATAACTTAATGAATACATAACTTCACTAATAGCATTTTAATGATTGATAGTAATGAATAATTGATTTTTCATTGAATAAGTGTCCCATCACCCCATGACAACCTTAAATATAGACTTGATGAAAAGGACATCCTCAAATATTATCACATTGATGAAAAGGACTACTCTCTTATATCTTTCTCATTAATTTCCCTTTAAAGGAAACAAATTGAAAAACTTGAAAGCTTAGTATGTAAAAAATGATTTGTCTTAATAAATTAACTTTGAGAAATAGACGGGAGAGAGACTCGAACAAAAAGGTGGGAAAACACCAAAATTAATCATAAAATTGGACGATTTTTATAAGTAGTGTCTAACTCTTTTATTGGTTTTTATATTTCTAAACTTTTTCAAGATAGAATAACCTAGCATGAACAACTACTTAATTATCATTCCATATGCACACATCAATCTCAATCTTGAAGAAGATGTGAATGAATTACCTTGGGAGGGAGATGAGGGAGCAAAGCATGAAGATTAGAGAACATGTTCCTCATCTTCTTCCTTCTTTCTCTCGCTGTCCATATATGTATGTCCAGGGTGGGCAAGTAAATGAAAAGAGTTACTTAGCGTGATCTAGGGGCTTAATGATTGATAACGCCTAGACCTTCTACGTGTTTTAAAATAAAATAAATTTAAGAGAAAAAAAAAGAAGGGGGTGATTATGATGATATGTATACAAGCGTTATTTGGCTTTTTGTATTCAATTAAAATCATTAGTTTTGTTGTCGTGACGTGAAATATTAGTTTTGCGTTGTCTTTAATTTTGAGTTCCTACAATAAAGAAGAATTTTAAAGATCAATTTTTTTTGTTTCTGAAAAAATTTTGTTGCAAAATTATTTGGAGATTAATTCCTCTTGTCATAGGATCTTAGCTAAAAGGTCATTCCAAAAAATAAAAATTAAAAAAAATAAGACTTTTAGCGATAATGACATTTTGACAATTAAAATATTTTGCCTTTAAAAAAAATAATTTAAAATTTTAATTTGTTATGCATAACATTATCCCATTTTTTATATGTAAAAAATTGTTTGTATGGCGTCACCAAATTAAATAAAATATTCTATTTTGTCTTTTGTGAGTGATACTTTACTAGATAATAGTCCAATAATAATTATTACAAAAATACAAGCGTTACATATGAAAGTAATGGTTCAAGGCCTTTGTGGCCATGCTTTTGTGTGTAATTGCATGCACTTTACATATTTATTGGCACCACCATCAACTGCTGCTGTGATATTAATCGTCTTATTTCTTGCTACATTTCATGCTACTCTCCTCCCCCAATATTTACCATTGTCATATAATTTTTTTCATAAAAACAAAAAATAGAATGTTCGGAAATGAATTGTTCAGATACATATTATGTTCAATTGTTTATATCTGAGTAATTATTTTTTGTTTAGAAATTTATGTCTAAAAATTTAACTTTTGTTTGAAAATCTATATTCAAAAGACAAATAGTGTATACAGAAATTTTATGTAGTCTACAAATAGTATTACCCAATAAAAACTAGTGAGAATATATGATTAACATATTTAACAAATATGTTTTGTTTGATGGAGTAGCATGCATCATATTATTAAAATAAGCCTCATTTTTAATTTTAATTTTTTTTTTGTTTATTATTAGTCTAATAATACACAGACACTACTGAGATTTTTCTTACTGAAACTGCTTCCCCCCCCCCCTCTCAAAATCAAGTAATGGTGCTATGGTTCAGTTTTGGTTTTGTCGGTTTGTGAAATTTTACAGTCAAATGACAATCTAATAAATACTTAAAGATGCTATATAAGTGAAATTGTTTCACCAATTATTATAAATGGTTAAGATTATGTTTTGCGATTGATTCTGTGTTTAGGCTTATTGTTATTCAAAAGCCTATATTTCTTATGAATGCAATGGAAGCCTTAACATATCAGCGTTAAAAAATAAAAAGGGCACCTTCAGTTGTGTTTTCAAACTCGTTTTTTGAAAAAAAAAAAATTACAAATTAATTTGACAAAAATGAAAATAAATAATTATTTTTAAATTCTTAAATTTTTTTTTTTTCCAAACAGAAAGAAAGCACAAAAAAATAATGAATATTTTTTATTTTTTAAAATTTTAGTTAAAAAAATAAATCGTGAAAACTCAATCAAACAATTGTTGCAGTTTAAGCTTTCTACTCTATTGTTTTTTTTTCGATTCCCCCCACCCCGTGTTGATTGTGAAAAAAATCTTTTCAAGTTCAATTATTATTGACTCATTAAAAATTTGTTTAAAATTAATTTCTGATACACAAACATAAAAATTACGGCTGTGATTCAAACCCCCAGCTGGGGGCACCCTATAGCGATCCCGGGTTTACCCTTGTTGTACAGTGATTCGGACATGTGTCCGTGGATGTTGGTTGTTGTTTATTATCTTGTTTGCATCCTCTTTACTTTGTATATTGAGTTATGGGATGTGTTGGGCAGGTTTGTTTCAGGTTGGTTGTGTTTGGGAGCCTAGTGTTGCTGCCCAGATTTTTGGTTGGCATAATAAATTAGAAAACAAATTGTTATAAAAATATAAATTTCATGGGACAATTTATTATAAGCTCATGAGAGTATCTGTAATTCCCGAAACGTCAAGAAAATATTTGTAATTTAGCTAAATCTCGAGAGAAGTATATGTAATTTGTCCTCATTTATTTTCAAAAACAGAAAAAAGGAGAAAAAAACTAAGAAAACCAAAAAAAACCTTATTCAACATTCTAAAACGTATCATTTTCCTACTGGGAAAACGTCTAGACCACTTCCGTGAGTTTGGTTCAAGTTCTGGGCAAGTTTCTTCTTTTTGGGGCCGACGAAGGATACTTAACCCGATTAGATAGACAAGTCCCTCATCAAAAACCACCACCCCCTTCACCGATTTGGTGTCCCGCTTTAAACCTATTTGACCCGATTTATACATAGTCGTTTCATCACCGTTGGTGGCACAAACATTAAACCTCTCAAGGTTTGGAGCCTCGATTTTCAAATGTCTAAAGCCAGAGCAGTTTACAGCCTTGAAAAAGGTAAGATTTGGGAAATTGTAGGTAACAGTACCAACTATCTCCGAGCCAAAATCTATGTTGTCAAGACGAATGCAATGGAGATTCCGAAAGCCTCCAAATGGTTGGTAGAATATACAATTACCAAGAACCAAACTTGTCAAATTTACCAACGCATATAGAAAACTGATCTTGTATGTCTCATCATTGTAATTATACAAGATGATTTCGTCGATATCGTTCCAATGTAGTGAAAACAACCACTTATTTATATGTCGGACCCAGTCATATCGTATGACCGGAACGACTTCCACAAGACATTGCGGAATGCAGAGAATAAGCTTTCGAATGGGACCTTTGTGATTATATAGAATTCCGGAGACTATCTCTGCAACTGCCCCTGGGTCTAGTTGATTCCTTGTCGAATGCTCCTCCCAGAAGTTGCTGTCAACAATGACGACTGTATTTCGAGACCAATTTTTAACATAAATCGGGTTTCCGGACAAGATGCTTGTTTTTGCTGCTTCCTCAATAGAACTGCGCCCAAGAATTTCCAGTATTACATCTAGCGGCAGGTTCCGATCCATGTTGGAAGACAGACCACCTGTCCAAACGACAGGAAATTTATAGCTATGAAAACTTGGATCTAGCTAGAAAATAGAATTGGACCTTTCATATAAAAGGATAAATTTTTATTTCTATTACATTACAATTTAACAAATTTTTGATAACAAATATATATATATATAATAGTTCAATTTCAATTAGTTGAATCGAATATTTATTTTTTAACTTACCAATACTATAAGAACTAAAATTAATTAGGGATAAGAATGATAATTTTCGACAGAACTCAAATAGTATATAAAATTAACAAGTTAGGGGTTTCTCTTTCATCCTTTCTGAAGTTTCAATAGAAGGATTCCTCTACTAACGCAGTCAACTCTATTTGTTAGAACAGCTTCCATTGAGTCTCTGCACCTATCCTTTTTTTATTTTCGCTTTCGGAATCTTTGTTTGTTTTAGAAAAACAGGATTTGGCTCAGGATTGCCCATTTTTATTAATTCCAGGATTTCTCTGAATTTGAAAGTTATCACTTAGTAGGTTTCCATACCAAGGCTCAATCCAATTAAGTCCGTAGCGTCTACCAATTTCGCCATATCCCCCCTTTGTTTTGAAATTAGGATCTCATTGTGATGTCGTTCCTTTTTTCTTTTGTTTATACTGGAATCATTGAATTCATTAAATACTGATTCCTATCTCGAAAAGTGTTTTCTCTTCTTTGATTTCTTGCCTATCTTCTTTCATCTTCTATAGGAGACCTAGATTTGGTTCAATCAAAAATGATTCTATCATTTCTGTATCCGCAATTCAATATAGATGGATATATACTACATATATATCTTTCTCCTTTTATAATTTTTCTCATGTAATTTGGAATACTTGAACGGTCGATTCTTTTTTTTTTTTCGTCTTAACTTCCACCTTTACGAATGAAAACGGAGGAATGGCTCATTAGTTATAATTAATCAGTCCATTACTATTTTCATATTAATTAGAATTTATAATTCGAATGAATTAAAATCGAATTAATTAGATTAAACTTATCTTAGATTCTATTATGGAATATAGAAATCTATAGAAAATAGATATAGAACCCACATTTACATATTGCTTTGTTTTCTATATTCTATATATTCTATGGATAGAATATAGAAATAGATAGAATATTGTATCTAAAATTAGAATGTATATCGAATTATATGTCTTTAATAAAATAAGATTTTAATTTAATAATTAGAATTAGAAATATATGATATGGAATAAAATATCAAAGTGTAATAAAAAGAATTTCAAATGAATTTAAAAACGAAAAAAAAAACTATCAAATAATATGCTAATAATATTTCCTATCTAATTAATAATATCGAATTGTGATAAATAAATCGAAATTATATATCGTAATATATCGTATCGCTATATTAATTGTTATCTTACGGAAAAAAATTTAATCTCGCCATACATTTGCTAATTTATTTTTAATTAAAAATAAAAATTTTCATATTAAATAATATCAATTACATACGAATCAAAATAAAAATAACACTATATGACAACATAAAAATAAATAGATTGAGCTAATATTGAAATAATTATGAAATATAATTGGAGCCCTAAATTTTATCCAAAATTGAGGGTTCGAGGCACTTTCGTCGCCTCACCTCAGAGACAGCCCTCTCTCCCGGAGCTTTTTAACATACACATCACCTTGTTGAATCGAAGAATCTTTCAAGATAAAACCCTACCATGGCATCTATCCTTCTCCATATATATATATATATATATATAAAGACATGAAAAATCATGAGATCAAACAAGGATCATCAAATAAATAAAGTAAAACAAGGATCTTTCAAAATAAAATCCTATCATAGCATCTATACTATAGATTTAGATGAGAAGAGAACTATACCAAAGTGAAGATCTAGCAATATAACGGAGAAAGAAGATGAAAGATCTCTTCCAACAAGAAGTTGTCCAGAATTTCTGAACAAGCGTCAAGGCTTAATGTGTAAATGAGTTAGTATTGTTTTGTTGTAACCAAGTATTAGCTTGGAAAGCTGTAAGCCTTTAGGGCATTTGCTTTTGTTGTTAATATGTAATACTTTTTGTAATGAAACTCTATTGAATAGAAGAATGTGGAACTTTTATATATATCAATGTATGTCTATATTGATGGGTTCCAAGTGTTAACTTGGAAAGCTGTAAGCCCGTAGGGCATTTGCTTTTGTTGTTAACATGTAATACCTTTTGTAATGAAACTCTGATAAATGAAAGAATGTGAGACTTTTGAATATCAATGCATGTCTTATTTAATGGGTTTAATATTATTATTTTGAGGGCGTTACACACCCCCAGTGACCCCCAGCGCCACATGGCGCTCTGCCAGTGGCTGAAACCAAAGAAAAAAAAAAACTGTTTTTTTTGGCCAATCAGGAGTGACCCCCAGTACCCCCACTGGGGGTCTTAAGCTTTATTCTAAAAATTAAACACATTTTAAAAGTTGTTAATTTTTGAAATTAGGCTCGAACTCATTATAAGCATTATTAAAAAATTTAAAATAAAATAAAATAAAATAAAAACTAAACTAAACTACTTATACTCAACTGAATCAAAGTTGATTTGAAATCAACTTAAATAAATTTTTTAAAATTCAATAATTTTTAAAATCCCCAGTAGGTAGACATAGAAACAAACACATAAGAATAGTGTTACCAAAAAAAAATTGAATAATAATATGTAAGGGTTGTCTTAAATGGTTGGTGGGTGTACTCCTCACACAATTATTCAAGGTTCAACTCTTGGGCTAGACCAGGCCACAAGAAAGAACTTTCTTGTGAATTACTTAATCCTATCGTGGATGGCATGCCTTTAACTGAACCGGAGAAGAAATTAGTCAATGTGCACTACTTATCGTTGAACATGTTGTTTAAATTGGATAATTGAAACAAAATAAACAAATTCATGCTTTATTAAATTAACTAAAAGAACATCAAATAAAACCATACTTAATAAATTACATCATAGAGCATAAACATGAAACAAGACTAATATAAGAACATATTTAATCTGAATATGATAACAAAGAAATCAAACCAAATTTTGTGTGATACCACAGTATCTTTAAAACAGATTAGCCGTCTCACCATAGGTGCAGGAGAAACGTCGACTTCTGTCTCCTAGGATAAGATGGTTTAAACCAACTAACTCAGAAGCACCTTCTGTTAGCTTTGGCGAACTGATAATGGCAACACTCTCTCACAGTAAGAAATTTCTAGCAAAGTGACTAAAAAATGGAATAAACAATTTTCTGTGTTTGAGACTTGATAGGAGGGTCTTAATTTATACATGTATAGGGGGAGAGAAGAAGCCTCCAGCCTTTATGGCTGGTCACTAATGCACCATTAACCTTTGCAATAAATGTAGGAGTTGCAAACCCCATTAATGCACTATTAAACTCTGCAATAAAGGCAGAAGTTACAAACCCCATTAACTCTTTCATGAAGCTAACTTCATGGGACAATTTCTCATTCAATTCTCAATGGTTTTTGGCCATTCTATTTATGGTGTAAAGATCTCATTGCAAAGTATCTAGACCCACTTAGACCCAACACAATAAATGGTTGAGACCCACTTTAATATTTAATTAAAATCATTAAAAAACCATTTTTTCCAACAATCCCCCACATGAATAAAAATTGACCGAATGACTCAACAAATGGACACTGTTCAACAAAGACTCGGAGAGAGAGCACACAGACTAACCTTGCATCAGAAAAGGTAGCTGTTAGCCTTAAACCTTTCGTAGTGACAACCTATCGGATTTACTGACTAACCAGTGAACGTGATGTCTTGAACTGTTCTGTCGTTTGTGTAAACCGAGACAATAGACCTCACACAAGAGTTAGTCCAACCATTGTTCTTGTTCTGACTTGTGTGTCCGGTATGGCCCTAGAACACTAGCCTGGTTCAGTGAGTGATTTTAAAGAATTTAGCCTTACCAACTCTTAAAGAAGCGATCCCACTTCGCACTCACATAGGTGACCTATATAAGGTATCTCATTTATACCCCGGTTGACTATCATGACTTAGGTCATTAAAAGCATTAGCTTAGCCTTCTACCCCCATCGGGTATCACTGTACAAAGGAATGGGCAAGAGGATTTACCTCTTCAATGACTCATCCATTACACGAAATTAGGTTGTCCCTTTGAACCTAGATCTTGGGATCTCCAGTCAACTACGTTGGGTTTTCCATTCCGGTAACATTACTAAAGGCCTTAACCCCATTCCTCTTGACGACGTTTTTACTAACTCTCGAGTTATCCCTTTGGTTAGCGGATCCGCAATGTTGTCTTTAGACTTTACATAGTCTAGAGAGACAATTCCATTATAGAGTAGTTGTCGTATGAAATTATGTCTACGACGGATATGTCTTGACTTTCCATTATATATATGACTCTATGCCCGTCCAATCGCTGATTGGCTATCGCAATGAATACAAATAGCAGGCACAGGTTTCGGCTAACGTGGAATATTCTCAGCGAACTAGCGAAGCCATTCAGCCTCTTCAGTTGCTTTATCCAACGCAATAAACTCAGATTCCATCGTTGATCTCAATATACACGTTTGCTTGGAAGATTTCCAAGACACGGTTGCCCGTCCGAGGGTAAACACATAACAACTAGTGGATTTGGAGTCTTTTATATCAGATATCCAGTTAGCGTCACTATACCCTTCTAGTACTGCTAGGTATCTGGTATAATACAGCCCATAATCCTAGGTGTAGCATAGATAACCTAACACCCGCATAATGTCTCTCCAATGAGTGACATTAGGATTACTCGTGTATCTACTAAGCCTGCTAACAGAGTAAGCTATATCCAGCCTTGTACTACTCATCAGATACATCAAACTTCCAATGACCGGAGAATATTCTAGCTGAGAGACACTTTTACCATTATTCTCGGTCAAATGTAGACTCACGTCTACCAGTGTCCTAAACACACTTGTATCTGATTTACTAAATTTTTCAAATACCTTCTCAACATAGTGAGACTGAGAAAGTACAATACCACTAGATGTT